AAATAATAATAATAATAATAATAATAATAATAATAATAATAATAATAATAAAACAAACGAACAAACAAAAGGAGAAAAAAATACGTACCTCCCAGAAACCTGATGTTTCTTTTAGCAATACACCCCTTAATAGCATGGAAATTGATTTAGAAATCTTAAGATCTATCAGTACTTGAATTATTATGATTTGTAGCTAACTCTCAAATTGCCTACTGTAGTATAGGGGGCCTTTCTGAAATAAACCGAGAGGTCTGGGTCCTAGTGGCTCGGCCGAGTGAGTTCTAATTAGTTATTCATACCGCGTAGTTAAGTTGATTCGTAATAAACCCATGATGATAAATCAGATACAATGAATATATGAAGTTCATATATTTTGAATTGCGGTTGTAGATACGTATCATGCACGATCCTCGCTCAATTGGTAGACCGCTGCACTTGTATCGCAGAGGTCAGTAATTCGAATCCCGTTTTCAGGTCTGATTTTCGCTATTGCATAAATAGCGCTCTCTACTGAGAGGATCGTGCATCATACGTATCTACAACCGCAGTTCAAAATATATGAACTTCATATATTCATCATATAACAAACAAAGTTCCAAACTACAAAACTGTATAATTATAGAACTTTAACTAATAATACAAAAAATAATAAAAAATTATTTATTTAAACTTGATAATGTAGGAAGTGGTTGTCCAATTTCCCGAGCCAGTGGCTCGTGTTAAAAGCACTTGACTCCAGATCAAATTGGAATTTGGAATGTTGATTTTTGTGGAGGGAGAGAAACCAGAGGACCCGCAGTAAAACCCTTGGAGCAAGGACGAGAACCAACAACAAACTCAACTCACGTGTGAGCCCACGTTTGGTAATGAAACTCGGGCGACAGTGGTGGGAGGCGAGTACTCTTACCACTGCACCATTCCTGCTCCCCAAATCTTAATCCATCTTAATTGGTACCCTTTTAGTCACAATATCTTCTGTAGATTAAGTGGCTTCAACTTCAATTTGAAGAAAGTGAGACAATAACTGGGAGTGACAGTCAACTACAACGGCCATGCTGCTACTGGTAAAAATGTGAAAATTGCAGTCTTTTGTTGCACAAGGCTTTGTCAAAGTAGAGATTAACTATGACCCCAAGTGTGTAAATAAGCCGGGGGTCACTTACTTTGAGGACATTTTTTCTGCATGCATCAAGAAGATTGGCTTAAAGGTTTATTTTCATTACAAATTCTATAAATCATATGTTGGGAAAAATTTGTAGCATTAAACAGCCCATTGAAAAAAATTCACATGCTGAGCTTGTGACCTGTGAATTAAATTTATTGTCGCTTGTAATTTTAAAGGTCAGTCTTAAGTCACTTAAATGCTTAGTCTCAAAAGCCAAAGGAAACATTTGACCCCAATAAAATATAGTTCACTTGTATATTTTGCCTTTTCTCAGCTAATAATTATACTCAGAAGAAAAGTTGCCAATGCCACCCAGTGACTGGCAAAATCTAAATCTGACCACTTGCCTAATGTGTGATTCATACCATAACCCTGAAACAAATAAAAACCACAAAATTAGAAAGACACTCATCAAAATTCTACATGTTTACATCAAAGTTTTCACCATGAAACTCAGAAACCAAGCGCACCAGAAATTATATTTCTAGGAAAAAATCTAATCAGGTGTCAGAATCAAATCAGAGTGCTTAAAACCTTTTTCTGAGTATCACAGGAGAACAGATTGTGGACCTTAAGTTACGAAGAGTTTACCTTTGATGAAATCATTGTTGTTCATAATTACCTTTTCTTGGATTTCTGAGTCTCCCCCAAACATGATGCCTAAATAAGCAAGGTGAAACACTGCAAGGAAGCTTAGGCCAAGATTAGCTGCAATTACCCAAAAGTTACCCTGAAAGAGGATAATTCACAGACAGTGTTAAGCAGTCTTTTTTAATTCTGCACAACTTGCTCCATCTGTACCTTAACGATTCTAAAGAATACAGTGTAACAAATAGCCCAGAGCCAAGTTGTTCAAAGCAAGATTCACCCTTAAACTCCCAGGATCTGTTTGTTTATTCTCCCCTCTAGCCACAACACATTTCGTTGTTAATAATATACATCGAAAAATTTCTCAGTTCTGATTGGTTAAGATGAATGCAGTTTTCAGTTAATTCAGTGCAGAAGAGAGTTAATTCAGTGCAGAAGAGGGTTAATTCAGTGTAAAGAAAGAAACAAACCAGACATTCTGATTGGTCAATGTCAATGTCAAGGTCAATGTCACTTGCAGGGTTTGAATAAATTATTTTTGCACGTGATGCATGCGCTTTTCTTCTGCGTAGTTATGAGAAGCTACCTCGTTTTTTTTTTCATGTATATCATTAATAGATAGTCACATGATTTTCTCGTGCAATTTGGAATAAATAAGCACTTGTAAATTTTTTCAAAGACCACAATCGTCTTTGAAAAAATTTACTCGTGCTTATTTATTCCAAATTGCACTCGAAATCATGTAACTACCTATAGATACAAATTAGTTACAAGAATTTGGCAGTATTAAATTAAAATAACAACTGTTACCCGATAAGTTCAAGTATATATTCCCATTACTGTTTTGTTGGATTGTGTGTGGATATTATAGGCTGAGAGAATTTACTGGTTAGTAACTACTGGGAGTTAAAAAGTTAGCAACTACCAAGGATTACCCAACAATTTTTTATTTTTATCAGTTTTGTAGCTAATTCACAGACAGTTCAATTATTTAACAAAATTAATCTTTCCTTCAGTTCGATTAGACACTTGAACAACCCCTCAAAAAGTAAACCATTAAGAGAAATCAAGACAAGTCCAACTTTAATCCTGGGTTATTGCTATTTGCCTTTTAAAATACCGGCCTTAGAATCTTAATGAAGGAATCCAAGGCATTAGTACTCACCTCTTTGTATACATGTCCACATTCTGGTCTGCATTTTCTTGCCAGAATACAAGCATTGAAAATTTTCCCCAATTTGTGACGAAAAACTGTTAAGGCAAGAAAATAGGATCTGCTTACAATAGATATAATTATATTGCTGTGAGTCAAAAAAAATTCCCTTCAAATAGTATTTTGGTTTCCATAAAATAAAGAAATCAAGAGGTGCTCCTGCACAGCCACTCTTAAGACAACTACCTCAATCATGAATAAAATCTGGCTTGGCAAACAGTGCTAGATTTAGCGTGAGTAAGGTATAGAATTCCAGATGATTTAAATCAATTTTAGTATAATGCACCACAAAAATGTGTTCTAATACTATGTAGGATATGAAAATTACTACTAACAGATTCAGCTTTTTCCTACAATCTCACAAACTGGTATTAGCAGTTCACCTACCATGTTCAGTGTAAGCGTATATTCCTATAGAAATCAACACTGCCGCAAGTTGAAAATTGATACCCTACGAGATAATATAAACAGACAAAAAATGAACTAAAAGTTACTTGTAATGTGTAAAAAAGGGTTATTTTGGAGCTTAGAAGAGTAAAATGAACATTACAATTTAAATCATTTGAAACTGAGTTAGTTCTTTATGCTGAGAGATGTTCAATGCCTCCTGAGGTTGTCTAATATTGCACCAAGATTCATCATCTGTCAAAATTAATTTTCAATATAACCAAGAACTCAAGCATTCCAAGATATACTTACATGAAGTAAAGAACTCAATGCAAATGTTGAGAAAACAGCAACGAATCTCCCAAGAGGTATAGCTTTTTTAAACACATCTGATGATCGGAAAAAGGAAACATGCTCATGTTATTTTTAATTACAGTTGACCCATTCACAACATTGTAAAAAACTTCAGGCTTTAATAACAAGATGAATAAATCTCAAAAAAATATCGCAGGCCCTCAAGCACACAGCCCCCAACAAACAATGGGACTCTAGAACACAACCAGAAGTGCCTAATACTACAAATTATTACACGACTCGGGCAGTCAGAGGGCCAATAACTAAAATCAACCAATCAAAATGCTCTATTGCCGGTCAATATTCTCTCAGTATTGGACCGGGCACTGTCCCGAATGGTCCCGAATGATACTGCACTTGTGTCCCTTTGAACTTCAGTCGTATAATAAATCTCTTATAAACCAAGCTTGCTCGGGACCGTACTGGAAGAATATCGGCCCTCGGTCTTTTTTGTACAGACCACGCTGCGCTCGGTCCGTACTGTCAAGACTTCGGGCCGATATTCTCCCAGTACCACCCTCGCGCTTGGTTAATAAGATATATCTATTGATCACCCTTGAAACACACATTAAGGTCACAAGAAAAAGGAAATGATCACCAACTAAAGATTGAGATCTTGATTTATAAACAAATTCTCCTTGTCAGCACCTTAAGAAATGTATAGAGAACAGTATGGAGAATATCCACACTAATGCTACGGTGTTTAAAAGGGCTCAGCCACCATATCTCCCTCCAACAATGATTAAATTTTAATTATTATCTTCTCAAATAAACCCCTAAGCTTAACTGACCTAGTGATCTGGGCTCACTTCCAAACACATGCAGACCACTGCTTATTTTTCTCTCCTTCCGCAGTCTAAATACTTACAATTTTTGAGAAACAAATGCAACGGTATATTCCACTGAACAACTACCTCCACCAAGGAACGAGGAAGTTCAATATGCTGGGGTCGTGCTATGTCATACCTCCTAAGAAAAATCAAAATAATAAGCTACAGGGCTTGACACTAATGGTAGCCAACTTATAACCATAGACTAATAGAAATTCAGTTTTGGTTAGAGGTTTTCAATTTCCACTAGCCAGTTAAATTGGCTAGTAAACAATTGAAACCAAAATTATTGCTCTAGTAAGTTGAAAAGTTAGTGTCGAGCCATGAAGCTAGATCAATCTATTAAGTTAAACATGACTACATCCATTTAACAACAATAACTACAACAAAAGTAACATTGTGCAATTTTTTTTTTAATCATAAGGTAAGACCTGTAGTATTTTTAAATACTTAAAAGCAACGAACACAGCCAGCCTCCCTCCTAACAAAATTTTAATTGGAATGATATCATGAGCTGATTATAGGAATGAAATTAATATTTTACCAGAGGGTTTTTGGCTTTCCTTCTTGGTTAACTTCTGTGCCAATTCCACTTAATACACTGGTACATTCTGATAGGAAGCTTACAAAATAATGGCTAAATCTAAATGACATTGCTGATTGGTATGCCACAAACCATCTGTAGGTGGGAACAAAAATAATCATATGGTAAAATTACTGAAAAACGTTGATAAAAATAGGTGGAAAATTAAGTAAAAACAAAAAAAAAAAATCATTGAATTTATCTTAACACTCAGCACCAAATTTATTCACTCAAAAGTCAAATGCACAAGCCATTAATTTACTTGAAAATTATTTCCATCAATTAGTTTTTGAAATCACACTTACTTAAAAGAGTCCTCTGGAAACATCCATGGTGCAATACAAGCTGAAACTATCAAACAACAATAGGAAAGAAAACAACTCCTTACTACTCCTAGAAACCAGGCAAAACTCTGAAAGAGAGGGGAAAAAATAGAAGTACATTTTAATTTAATTTTTTACCAACATATCATCACACAAAGAAATTACAGTATCACTAACTGCAACTGAAGTAAGAGTGATGCCAGCAATAATGATCATAGTGACGACAAAACTGATGATGATGATGTAAATGACAGTGACAAAAGAAACAGAGATGATACTGATGACCCAGCATAACAACACTGATCATGAGGATGACGATGATGATCAGAAAGCTTATACTTTACAACTGATAGCCGTTACTAGAAATGCTATTTCTCACCAACAGAGGTAAAGACTATATGACTGTGTAAAATTAGACTCAAATTTATCCTGGTTAGTTCTTACCATCTTTTTCCCATCCAAAAGCTGGCAATAGTCTGAATACGTCAGAAAAGGTCCAAATATGACAGAACTGACTGATACAGAGTACCCAAGATACTCCACTATGTTGGGCCAAGGAGTTGTACCTTTATCCGAATCAAAACCCAGTGAAATAAGCTTCATTACAAGTACCATCTGAGAGCCTGAAAAACCAGATTACCCTAAACATTAACTTAGATACTTCTAGCTGATCATTTCATGCAGTAAATGCCATTAGTGGAAAAGTAATTAAGAAATATGACAAAATTATAATCATCTCAGCATGTGTAATGCAAAGCAAAGAAACAATTTCAACAGCTATAACTAGAAAAAATATTATAAGATGCACTGAACTTAGATCAAAACTCCATTGCATAGCCAGGTTTTGATATAGGAATTGATTTTTACCAACTCAACTGATTAATGTTTTGTTTGAGATGTGATGTCATGGAAGGATGAAGACTAAATATTAAGTGACTGAAAATAATTTTTAGGAAATACCTCGAACCTGGTGCCAGTTTTCAGGTGTAGCAATAAACAGTTCACTGCGAATAATGAAAAAAAAAAACTAAGCTGTAAGTAATTGGCTTAAGCTTCATTCTTCATTCACAAGGGAGGTAACGGGAAGTCCAGGGAAAAATTTTTACTCTATCACCCCAAGAAGAATAAAAATCCTTATCTTTTAGCATAGTACAGATTCTGATTTTTAGCAGGGACATGCAAACAAAACAAATTTATTGAAGTAACAAGGATAGCTCTCCCATGGGTTCTTCCTTAATTCTTTTCTCTCAGCTTATCTGCATTTGACACAACTCACTAATAAAGAGCCTGGAACAGGGTACAATCTTCTTATGCAATAGTCAAAAGCTTTTGGCTCTAATCCAGTCAGGACCCCTGGTGGAAGGGCTGTGAGGGATTTGGACCAACCCCATATCAGACCTCTGACGTTTTTGAACAACCTCCCTGAAACTAAAACTCTTCCACAAAAAGGATTGTATACTACAACTCTCCTTGAATATTTAAAAATGTACTTGAAATGTTTCTTAGTTTCTTTAGGCCCTAGTGGAAAAAAATTATAATAATAGTCAAGATGAACAAAAAA